GAGTTTGATAATATTGTTTACAGACGGCATTTGTCCAACGTGTAAAACGAATTATAACATAGATAGTATATAACGCGCGCTGTGATTGGCTGACATCTATGAACGAGATTTGGATATACCATGGATGTTTGCTCACGTCAACACACACAAACAAAAAAATCATTCCCGTCTTAGTTTGTGTCCCGCTTTACCCGGGAAATGATGGCGGAATTTCCCTCTTTTCGCATACAAAATGAAGTGTTCAACGTTGAAACAAGTTCAACAACAAACCAAGAAAAACAGCCAAACAATGGGCGATTTGCAAATCTATCCGAACACGATCTTCAGAAGATACTTACTGACAAACAGTCGGAACAAACAAAAAAAGTCTACAAACTGGTGTATCTCAACATTCAAAGGTTTTAACATTAACATTTCAACATTTCAACATTTCATTTCATTTCAACATTAACATTTCATTTCATTTCAACATTAACATTTCAACATTTCAACATTTCATTTCATTTCATTTTTTTAACTTTAACATTTCAAGAAAAACATGCCTTTTTGTCGTTTTGTCCGCAACTAATCATTATAATATAAATCGTTGAATGTACTAAGTAATCAAAATTTGACAACAAAATTTTTACCTTACATTGTTGTCTTTTAGCTTTAGGATTAGTCTTTTAGCTTTAGGATTAGCATATGTCGCAATGGCGGGAAGACATGAATTCTAGTRCTCCTGCAATTCGGCGCTAAAATGACTTCTCTWGAGCAGGTTAAGGACTTGATCCTTAAAGAATTGAAACCTATAAATCTAAAAGTTGAGGMATTAACTAAAAAKTTCACTGATATTGGYAAGGCARTTAAATTCATGTCGAACCAATATGAYGAGCTCCTTCAACAGCTTCAAACGTCCAACGCCAAAATTAACAAACATGACGCCGATATACTAAAGGCAAAGCAAGACATYAAGCTTATTGATAAACGAGCATCAGAAGCACTTGACCAACTCGACGATCTTGGCCAATATTTAAGAAGAGATTGCCTTGAGATTACGGGAATCAAAACATCAGAAACACGATCGTCCGAAGACATAGTGGAATCGATTGGCGATGCCATAGGAATGGATATTCAGGCCGAAGACATTTCGATTGCACACCCGCTCCCTTCTCGTGACCCGGATTCACCACCTAAGATAATCGTCAAATTCACTCGAAGGAATACTCGAAATAAGTTCTACGCTGCCCGAAAGAACCTCGCCAATAAGAAAGTTAAGGATCTCCCGTACCTGAATTCTCCCAACTCCAACGACAAGGTCTTCATATCG